GGAACGAAAAGCAGGAGAATAATAGCTTACAGATTACAAGACACATTCTTGATTATTTTCTTTCAACCTCGCCAAATCTCTGCAAGTCAGACCATTTGCAAATGGGACCAGATTCTGGAGGACCAGAATTAAATGACTTGTCAAGCATTACATGGTAAGCGGACCCAATTCCCTGTCTCCAGACTTTACTGGCTGGACAGCTGTACAAACACAAAAAATAAGTGAGCTCCCCTCTTCAGCATCCATCTATCCCACTGACTTAAAAGGAAGGGTATTGACAGGCACTAAACTTCTCCCCATTTGCACCAGAACCTAAAATAAGGGCTTTAAAAAAGGCATCCAAATCTACACAAAACCCTAAGGAAAAAAATATAGCAATGGTCATGGAAATACCAAGGCAGATCAGTCCCGTTTCTCAAAAAGCTTACCAAGTTGGCTCACCAAGGGGAGCAAAGTCTTAAGTGAACAAATTAAATCCCACTTTGGCTTCCCCAACCTAATGTATTCTTGTTAAACTTTAACAAAGCAAGTAAATTCAGACTGCTGGCTGTTCAGTGTAAGGATAATGATTAAATGCTGTTAAGTAAAAATGCAGTTGTAAGAACTAGAAAATGCTGAGCCACTCTCAGAATCACAAGGTTCTAAATGCGAATTCACTATGAGAACATATATACAGATTTTTCTCTTTAACTTTAAAAATGCAATCTGAAAGAAAATACATCCTAATGTTATTAGTGGTTAACTCTCAATGGTAGATAGTTTGTGTACTTTTGGTTTCTTTTTTGAAAATTTTCTCCAATTTTTCTACAATGAATATGTTAGCTTTATAGTTACAGAAATATTAATGCATGGCTTAAACTTATTACGGTTTCATTAAATGCAGAAAAGAGTTTAATACAATTTCTATTCAGCTTTAAACACAACTATCTTTCTGATGGGAAACCCAATTTATGTGACCTCCTTGTGATACTGTATATTGGTTTTCATCTATGGTTCCTGGTTCATAACTCCCATGACTCTTGTTACAGTCTTTTGTTACACTGGTGGGGCGCTTTAGGTCTCAGAAGCAGTCCTCAGAAAACAGAAATTTCTCTGACACTCTCCTGCCCTTTTTCTCCCCAAGGCAGGACTCTAATCTTCCCCTGCTTTTCCATCTTGAAGCTGGCTGTAAAGAAATTCTCTGGGCTGGAAGGGTGGTTCACGCCTGCAAGTCAAACACTTTCACAGGCCAAGTCGGGAGGATAGCTTGGGACCAGGAGCTCGAGACCGGCCTGAGCAATATAGCAAGACCCAGTCTCTACTAAAAATTTTTTAAAAGAGGCCAAGCGTGATGGCTCACATCTGTAATCCCAGCATTTTGGGAGGCCTAGTCGGGCAGATCTCTTGAGGTCAGGAGTCCGAGACCAGCCTGGCCAACATGGCAAAACCCTGTCTCTACTAAAAATACAAAAAAAAAAAAAAAAAATTATCTGGTCACGGGGGCGCAGGCCCCCACGTAGTTGTGAGGCTGAGCCAGGAGAATCGCTTGAACCAAAGGAGGTGAAAGTTGCAGTGAGTGGAGATGGCAGCACTGCACTTCAGCCTGAGCAACAGAGTAAGGCTCTGTCTCAAAAATAAATAAATAAAATGAATAAAAATTTTTAAAAATAAAAATAATTGCCAGTTCTGGTGGCTCACGCCTGTAATCCCAGCACTTTGGGAGTCCAAGGCAGGTGGATCGCCTGAGGTCAGGAGTTCAAGACCAGCCTGGCCAGCATGGTGAAATCCCATCTCTACTAAAAATATAAAAATTAGCCAGGTGTGGTGGCAGGCACCTGTAATCCAAGCTACTTGGGAAGCTCAGGCAGGAGAAGCACTTGATCCTGGGAGGTGGAAGTTGCAGTGAGCCAAGATAGCACCATTGCACTCCAGCCTGGGCAACAGAGCAAGACTCTGTCTCTAAATTAATTAATTAATTAATTAAAATAAAAATAATTTTGGCTAGGTGCAGTGACTGACGCCCGTAATCCCAGCACTTTGGGAGGCCAAGACAGGTGGATCACTTGAGGTCAGGAGTTCGAGTCCAGCCTGGCTAATATGGTAAAACCCTGTTTCTACTAAAAATACAAAAATTAGCCAGGCATGGTAGCACAGGCCTATAATCCCAGCTACCCGGGAGTCTGAGGCAGGAGAATCACTTGAACCCGGCAGGCGGAGGTTGCAGTGAGCTGAGATCACGACACTGCACTCCAGCCTGGGCAGCTGAGCAAGACTCTGTCTCAAAATAAATAAATAAATAAATATTTTTTAAAATTATCTGACCTCCATTGTCTGACTGCAGGTCATAAGACCCCCATAAGAAGGGGTCCTGCCCATACCCTGGAGGAAGGAATGCTACAGAGAGAGGCCAAGAAAAATCTGAACAGATAGGCATTGCTGGGTTTCCCCTACTCCATGCTTCAATTATGTCTACCCAGTGAAGTCTCCATAAAAAGCCCAAGAAAATGGGGTAGGGAGAGCTTCTCAATATCTGAACACACGGAGGTTCCTGGAGTGTGGTATGCCCCTTCTCATACCTCACGCCATGCATCTCTTCCTCTTGTATCCTCTGTAATATGCTTAATAATAAACTAGTAATAAACCTAAATAAGTGTTTTCTTGAGTTTCGTGAGCTGCTCTAGCAAATTAACCAAACCAGAGGGGGGGGTTATGGGATTCCCAATGTATAGGTGGTTAGTCAGAAGCCAGGGTAAAACAATCTAGGACTTGTGACTGGCATCAGAAGTGGGGGCAGTCCTATGGGATCTGACACTATCCCCAGGTAGACAGTATCAGAATCGAACTGGAAGATGCTCAGCTATTGTTTGACGCAGAAGTGATTGCCCCACACATTTATTTGGTCACAGAAATCTTCAGTGTTGATTGTAGTGGTGTGAGAGCTGAGGAAAAAGTTTGTGTTTTTCCTCTTACCCCTAATAGGATCTGGAGTAGTAAGAGCAAATCTCTTCAGAACTCATTTTGTAAGTTCTAAGTTCTATCCATAAGTATTTCCATATTTATTAGCTTTTTTATTATCTTTGTGAAAGTTGCAGATACCAGGTCAAAAATCACTTTTTCTCAGACCCAAACAAACTAGAGATGAAGAGCCTGAGGGAGAGAGCTCATGCTTGCATGTCTGAGATAAAGATCGTCTCAAGAAACTAAAATAACCCCCTAAGAAATTCTTTCTTTAGGAATGCAGTAATTCAGATAAGATAAGATAAGATAAGATCATCTTTTTTCCCTTTTTTTTTTTTTCTTTTTTGAGGCAGGGTTCTTGCTCTGTCACCCAGGCTGGAGTGTAGTGGTGCAAACGCCACTCACTGCAGCCTCCATCTCCTGGGCTCAAGCAATTCTCCTGCCTCAACCTCCCGACACACCTGACTATTTAAAAAGTTTTCTCTGTAAAGACAGCCATATTGCTCAGGCTGGTCTCCAACTCTTGGCCTCAAGCGATCCTCCTGCCTAAACCTCCTAAGTAGCTGAGATAACAGGCATGAGGCAGGGTGCCCAGGCCTGATAAGATGCTCTCCATAACACCTGCCCAGTAATGGCATCTTCAACAATGGCCAACTCTGACTTTGAGTCTGCAAAACCAATAAACTCTGTTTTCAAGCAGCTTATCTGCACTTACTTTGCCAATAAAAGTTTCCCTTTACCCTCCCCTCTTACATGCATATATGTCTTGCCAGGGCTGTGCCCCTCGGGTCATAATCCTCATTTCTCATTCCCAAATAAATTCAACATATTTGGAGTGTTTTGTTGTTGCTGTTGTTGTTGTTAACAACATCTTAAAGGCCATTAGGGGCCCTAAAAACATCAAAGCTCACTTTAGCTAAAAGGCTCAATCTCACCTAACATTTTCTAATGCTGCAAACAGAGTTAAGTTTTTAACTGCTGCCCCTGACTCCACTTCTTTCAAATAGATGTGTGCAAATTAATTGGCCGCCAATAGGAATTTAGCCCAGAATGTGGTAGTATCATCCTCAGTGGAATCGACATTGTCCTTCAGGGTTTCCAAAGGCTTCTTCATTCATTTAAGAAACACTTGTTGCGCACCTACCAATAGCCAGACCCTAAATGCAGTCAAGAAATAAGGCCCTGAAAGCGGCACCCTCTAAATGGCAGAGGCAAGTCAGTAAACAACAAACTCGAATCCAAAGTGCCAAGAGTCACTTGGAAATATGACAAAGTGCCAGGTGAAGGGGTGTTCACTTAATTCGGCCTGCGTGCGGGACGACTGGGGCGCTTTGGAGGGTGGAAGTGATCTGAAAACGCTTTTCTGAGCTTGATTTAAAAGCAGGAATCCAAGAATTTCCCCTAAGGCTGGAAGCACTTTCCGACAGAACCTCCCCATCTACGCAGCAAGGCTGGCAGAGCCCAGGGCTTGACCGCTGGTTTGGGAATCTCCGCTACGGGACGCGGCAGAGCCCAAGTCGCACACTCAGCCCTGCTCTGAGCACCCCCTCCTCTTTGTCCCCTCACCCCGTTCCCTCCTTCCACGGCCACCGATGGAAAGACTCCGCCCACCTCTGGGAGCGAAACTTGGGCACCGATCTGGGCGCAAAATCGGATCCGTGCCACCCCCGAATACCAGTGGGCCGAGATTTCAGGCCCGAAAGCCGGGGGGAGGCGGGGCGACGCCCCTCCCTGCCCGCGGCCTCGGCGAGCCCTGCGCGGCGGGGCGGGGACCACCGTGGGGTCACCCGGGCCCGACGCAGGAGGACGGCGCCCCCGCCCCGCCTCCCAGGCCAGAGCGGACGCACGCAGCGGGCGCCCCATCCCAGCCGCGGCCCCTCAGAGCGCCCGGCGGCGCCCTCCTCCTCCGGCTCCCAGCCACTCCAGGCGGGCGGGCGGGGAGAGCGCGGGGACAGGGCAGGCAGGCCCGGGAAGCCCGCGAGGGAGCTGCGCCTGGCCGGCCTCCAGGCGCGGGGACCCCCAGGGGCAAGTGCGCACCGCACAGCCGGGACCCCACGCTTTACCTGGTGCGCTGGAGGAGCAGGTGGGAGCCCGGGTCGGGCGGGCTAGGTGTCGGCCCTGCCTCACCTGGGCGGAAGTGAGAGGCCCAGGGTGGCCGCGCCTCACCTGGCAGGCCCTCCCCTCGCCCCGACTCTCCCCGCCCGGGGCGGGGCGCCGGGGTGGCGCGGGGGCGGGGGAGGGAGCCCGGGGCTGCGGGAGGCGGGCTCCAAGGAGGGAGGACGGTTTCCCTGGCTGTTTCTGTGCAGGTGAATTCCTACAGGGCGCGGGATGGCCAAGGGCCTGGGAAAAGTGGGCTGTGGGAGCGGGGGAGCGGATGAGACCGCGCTTGGTGGGGACAGCCGGCACTGACGGGGAGGGAGATCCGGACAGACCGGTGTGGTTGGAGGCCTGCTTGGAGAGCGAGACCCAAGATCCAGGAAATTGGGGAGGATATCAACGAAAGCGTTGGGTCAATCCGCTTAACAACTTGCCTTTTTGCCCCTTTCCTTTCTTGTTCTCTCATCCCTCGTTTTCTATATCCGCTGACGCAAAATAAAATATTCTAAAACGTGTAAATGTGGGAGTCATTATTTTCTTCTCATTTAGTGGAAGGAAGAAATCCAGCAGTATTTGCCTGCCGTATGCTGGGTGCTAGCTTATACAATATCTCAATTACTCTCTGAAGAAACTAATGAGGAAACCGTGCACCAGGTAGGTTGACTGGCCCAAAGTTTGGAACACAGGCAAGGCATTTTGACTCTAAATACAGTGATGATTTCACTATACATTGATTTTATTTTATTTGTGTATCACACCTTCGAGAAAAATATGCCCCGATGGTATTCTTCCACTCCCTTTAATAACTTCAGACTTTTGATGATAGGGGTTTTACTTGCCTGATACAGTCCACACATTACCGATAAAGAGAATCAATCTTCAGGTATCTTATTCATAGAGTACATACAGTAATTGTTAAAAACTGTGATTGACTCTGGAAAGATGTGTAAAATGGTATCCCTGTCCCCAGCAAGATGAGGAATAGATACAAAACAACTACAACATAAAGACTTAGACCGGGCATGGTGCCTCACGCTTGTAATCCCAATACTTTGGAAGGCCCAGGCGGGTGGATCACCTGAGGTCAGGAGTTCCAGACCAGCCTGACCAATACGATGAAACCCCATCTCTACTAAAAATACAAAAATTAGCCGGGCGTGGTGGATGCCTGTAGTCCCTCTACACAGAAGGCTAAGGCAGGAGAATCACTTGAACCCAGGAGGCAGAGGTTGCAGTGAGCCGAGATCCTGCCACTGCACTCCAGCCTGGGTGACAGAGAGAGACTCCACTGCAAAAACAACAACAACAACAAAAATTAGCCTGGAGTGGTGCCATGAGCTTGTAGTCCCACCTCCTCTGTGGGGCTGAAGTCAGAGGATGACTTGAGCCCAGGGGTTCAAGACCAGCCTGGGCAACAGAGCAAGACTCCGTCTCAAATAAATAAATAAATAAAATTAAGATCATGCACTTGGTGCTTTACAGTTTGTTTCCTTGTTTTAAAAGAAACGTAACACTTCTTAGGCATGGTAAGAAGATGCACAATATCAGCATGGTTCCTGCTTTTTAGGAATTAACAAACTACTGAGGGAAATAACATTAGGCAAATTACCAAATGGAAGCCAGACCTCAGAAAATGAAGAGATCTATTATGTTTTTTGAAAGCCTGGGTTAGAACTTAAACAGGTCTTAACCAGAGTCAGATTAATTTAGGTAAAATGGAGAAGGAAAGGCTTTCCAAGTCGGGGGGCGAAATAAAGAAAGTTGGAAATCAGGTGGGAAAAGGGAGAGGATCGAAAAACTACCTGTCAGGTACTATGCTTATTACCTAGGTGATGAAATCTGTATATCAAACCCCCATGGCACACAACTTGCCTATGTAACAAACCTGGTTTTGTTGTTGTTTTGAGACAGAGTCTCGCTCTGTTGCCCAGGCTGGAGTGCAGTGGTGCAGTCTCAGCTCACTGCAACCTCTGCCTCCCTGTTCAAGCCATTCTCTTGCCTCAGCCTCCCGAGTAGCTGAAATTACAGGTGCCAGCCACCACACCCGGCTAATTTTTTGTATTTTTAGTAGACATGGGGTTTCATCATGTTGGCCAGGCTGGTCTCAAACTCCTGACCTCGTGATCCAGCCACCTCAGCCTCCCAAAGTGCTGGAATTACAGGCATGAGCCACCGTACCTGGCCTACAAACCTGTGCATGTAGTCCTGAACCTATAATAAAAATTAAATAGGAGAAAAGAGAAAGGTGGAGACCAATTATCTCAAAGAATCACCTTGTAAACATTGGTCTCTTCTTTTTATTTTTATTTATTTATTTATTTTTAAAATTGAAATTGAATCTCACTATGTTACCTAGGCTGGCCTCAAACTCCTGAACTCAAGCAATCCTCCTACCTTAATATCCTTCTTGAAAAGCTGAGATTACAGGCACACACCACCACATCTGGCTATTGAACCTCTTCTTTCTTTCTTTATTTACTGTAGAGAGAGGGTCTCACTATGTTGCCCAAGCTACTCTCAAACCCCTGGCCTCAAACCATCCTCCTGCCTCAGCCTCCCAAAGTGCTGGGATTACAGGCATGAGCCACCATGCCTGGCCTCTTCTTTATTTTTTATGTATTTATGTAATTAATTAATTTTTTTTTTTTTTGAGACAGGGTCTCACTCTGTCACCCAGGCTAGTGCACAGTGGTGCAATCATGGCAGCCTCAAATTCCTAGGCTCAAGCAATCCTCCCACTGCAGCCTCCTGAGTAGCTGGGACTACAGGCATGCACCATCACGCCTGGCTTATTTATTTATTTATTTATTGAGATGGGGTCTTGCTGTTGTCCGCCCTGGCTGGAGTGCAACTGCAACCTCCGCCTCCCAGGTTCCAGCAATTCTCCTGCCTCAGCCTCCAGAGTAGCTGAGATTACAGGCACCCACCACCACACCCGGCTAATTTTTGTATTTTTAGTAGAAATGGGTTTCACCATGTTGGCCAGGCTAGTGTCAAACTCCTGACCTCAGGTGATCCACCTACCTCGGCCACCCAAAGTGCTGGGATAACAGGCATGAGCCACCACACCCAGCCTGCCTCTTCTTACTTTAATATTAAATGATGCTGTGAACATATTCCCCTTTTTTCAAAAAGTTATGTAATTTTAAATTGACCATGAAACCAAGTCCAAACTCCATTTCTTGCTATTCAAGGCCCTTTAAACTCTCCCCTTCTTGCTGACTCTTTTTTTTTTTTTTTGAGATGAAGTCTCGCTCTTATCCTCCAGACTAGAGTGCGATGGCACGATCTCAGCTCACTGCAACCTCCGCCTCCCAGGTTCAAGTGATTCTCCTGCCTCAGCCTCCTGAGTAGCCGGGATTACAGGCGCCCGCCACCCCACCTGGTTAATTTTTGTATTTTTAGTAGAGACGGGGTTTCACCATGTGGGCCAGGCTGGTCTAAGAACTCCTGACCTCAGGTAATCTGCCTGCCTTGGCCTCCCCAAAGTGCTGGGATTACAGGCGTGAACTACTGCGCCCGGCCCCTTCTTGCTGACTCTTCAACCTAATCTGCACTTCACCTCTGGAGGATCTTACTCTGAGCAAATTTATCTATTCCATATCCATGGATCACCAATGGCTTTTCTGTTGGTTTCTTACCCTCTTTCCCCTGCCTGGAATGTTCTGTAAGCCCTACCCTCCCTCTAGAGCTAGACTCAAGTCTCACCCCTTCTGAGAAGCTGCCTCCCTGACCACCCCAGGAAACATCATCTCTATCAGTTTTAACCTGATTTTCTCTACATTTCTGTGCTGTTAATTTTACCTCACCAACTACCTGTCTTCCTTTGTGTTGTTAATTAACTAATTAATTTTTTTCAGGCCAGGTGTGGTGACTCATGACTGTAATCCCAGCACTTTGGGAGGCTGAGGCAGGTAGATCACCTGAGGTCAGGAGTTCGAGACCAGCCTGATCAACATGGGGAAACCCCACTAAAAATACAATAATTACCCGGGTGTGGTGGCACACACCTGTAGTCCCAGCTACTCAGGAGGCTGAGGCAGGAGAATCGCTTGAACCTGAGAGGCAGAGGTTGCAGTGAGCTGAGATCTCACCATTGCACTCCTGCCTCGATGACAGAGCAAGACTCCAACTCAAATAAAAAAATAAAAATAATAATAACAAAATGGAGACAGGGTCCCACTCTGTTGTCCATGCTGGAGAGCAGTGGTGAGATCATAGCTCACTGCAGCCTTGAACTCCTGGGCCCAAGCCATCCCCCCGTGTTAGTCAGGTCCTGAGAAGCTGGGACTAAAAACATGCACCACCATGCCCAACTAATTTTTAAAATTTTTTTATATTTAGAGACAAGGCTTCTCTATGTTGTCCAGGCTGGTCTCAAACATCTGGGCTCAAGGGCTCCCAAAGTGCCTCGGCCTCCCAAAGTGCTGGGATTATAGGCGTGAGCCACTATACTCGGTCTCTGTTAATTTAATGTGAACTTTTTTTGGCTCTCACTTGGAATTTAAATTTTTAAAAATTTATCCAATACATTTTTAAACAAGGTTTAGCTGTACCAGAAAATGTTTATCTCTGAGAATCCTCAAGAGTGTCTTTTTTTGGCCAAGCACGGTGGCTCATGCCTGTAATCCCAACACTTTGGGAGGCTAAGGTGGGCAGATCACAAGGTCAGGAGTTCGAGACCAGCCTGACCAACATGGCAAAACCCTGTCTCTACTAAAAATACAAAAATTAGCAGGGTGTAGTGGCACACGTCGGTAATCCCAGCTACTCAGGAGGCTGAGGCAGGAGAATCACTTGAACCCAGGAGGCAGAGGTTGCAGCGAGCCAAGATTACACCACTGCACTCCAGCCTGGGTGACACAGTGAGACTCCATCTCAAAAAAAAAAAAACCACCACCACCACCACCAACAACAACAAAAAACACAAAGAGCGTCTTAAAAAAAAAAAAAGATAGAGATGAGGTCTCACTATGTTGCCCAGACTTGAACTGCTGGGCTCAAGTGATCCTCCAACCTCAGCCTCTCAAAGTGCTGAGATTACAGGCATGAGACACCATGCCCAGCCCAAGACTGTCTTAGTTATAGAATGATGAAGAA